TGCATGGGGGTGCTGAACGTTTCCCATAGAGATGCATTGAGTCAATGCACTTCTATAAGAAGATGCTGATTGGCGCAGCGCAGCATTTTGAATGTGCATAAAGCACCCTTGTCCCTCAGATCTGTCTATCATTTTTGGCTGACTATATAATTTGTGTTCAATGTCTGTGAGCACATTGCGAACACAGCTTGAACAGAACATTCTCTGCACCCAGGAGAGAGATCCAAGCTGTGGACTGGGCATGTGCTGATCACAGTTCAGATCCTTATCTCTATCGACTGATACACATTCCCTGGTTTAGAAAACAGTGACTAGGGCTATATAGAAACTAATAGCTGCCATGGTATGTCTAGTATCATTTCATAGTTCTGTCATATTAAAGGGACACAAAAAGCACCCAAAGCACTTCATTTTCACTGAAGTGGTCTAACTGCAGTGCTCCTGTTTAAAGCGGCACTGTCATGCCGAATCCTGTTTTTTTTTTTGTTTTTTTTTTAACTCCCCTCCTGCCTCCACTACATCTAACTGACACCCTAGTCACCCCGAAATGCACCTAAGCCCCCCTACCTATTTTTTATTCCTTATTTTCTGCCCCGATCTATATTCAGGGCGCCGCCATCGTTGTGTGGGTAGATGAAGTCCCTGTGGGACACGTCATCTGCCCACACTAGATAGACTGTGAGATTCCCGCACACGCCCAGTGAAACACCTGGACATGCGAACGGGAATTTCATCTATTCATTCATTCATTCATCAGACAGACGAATGAGTGAATAGAAATATCAGCCGAACAAACAAACACTGAATATCAGTGTTCGTTTGTTCGCTCAGTTTATTACAAGGAGGGAGCTACTGGCATGCAGCTCCCTCCTTGTAATATGTAAAGATAGAAGCGGCAGGGAGCAGTGCTCCCCGCCACTTCCTAAGCCCCCCAGGCCCCCCCTCACTCTATGGGGGTCAATATGACCCCCATAATATCATAAGGGAGATTAAAATTTCCCAAATGCCCATACTCGCTATACCGCGAGTAGGGGCATGTCCACTAAACAGTGAGCAGCCTGTGGCTGCTCACTGTAAAAAAAACAAAAAAATAAACTATTGGCCCCCACCCCTAAACGACGGGTGGGGGCCCTAAAATAAAATAAGGGGGGTGGGGGCCATAAAGATAATGAGGGGACCTACTGTCCTCCCCCCCAGCCCCCACCCCTGGGCTGCTGGGTGGGGCCCTGTCACTTCCTTCTCAGCAGGATTGTTCCCTGAAATTAGTTTCTCATCTGTCTTTATTTTACCCCCTACCCTAAAAAAAATAGTGTAGTAGCAAGCTGAAAATTAACTCTTGTGTGGTCAGGGTTAAACTTAAATATTTGATACCCAGTTAGGTCTTCAGTTGCTGAAATCATTATTATGGAATGTGTTTCCATTTCTGTACAAAATAAAACCTTTGTTAAAAAACCAGACGTTCCAAAAAAAAATCCATCTTCACCCATGGAGTGGGCTCAAGGCAGATTGAGTTTTCCTATATTTTAAGGCTTATAAAGCCTTGCCTGGGCTCTGCAATTAGGGTAAGAATACCTGATTGGTGGCTCTGCCTAACCGTGAGTGCTCTTTGTCATTTTTACACAGCTGGAAAATTCAAAAAAGAATTTTTTCAAGACGTTGTAATGATTGACAGAAGCATTCTGCGATTGGATGGCTTGAAATCCATCCAATCACAGTGCCTAAAAGTCATTTTTGCCACAGTGGGAAAGTTCTTTTCGCTGTGTTTTTTTTTACAGTTTCTGGATTTTTTTATTTTATTTTAAATTCGACGGTTATGATGGTTTTTTATTTGGCCTTTTTTGGGGCTGAAAAATGAAGATTTGCGAAAAAAAAAGACGTCTAATGGTAAGTTTAATTTTATTTTACAGGTTAGTTATTTTATTCCCCCCTCACTAGGGTGAGGGGGGTAGGTAGGGACTTTTTATTTGGGTGGGGGGTGGGTGACTAGAGGCTTGGGGTCCCCTACTCACCTTGGGAATTGACTTAGGGCCGGAGGTGGGGTGGACAGTAGGTCCCCCCTCATTATCATTATGGCCCCCACCCGCCGCCAAGGGGTGGGGGCCGGAGGGGTGGTGGACAGTAGGTCCCCCCCCTCATTATCATTTGGCCCCCACCCGCCGCCCAGGGGTGGGGGCTGGGAGGACAGTAGGTCCCCCCCCCCTCATTATCATTATGGCCCCCACCCGCTGCTCAGGGGTGGGGGCCGGGGGGGGGGCAGTAGGTCCCCCCTCATTATCATTATGGCCCCCACCCGCCGCTCAGGGGTGGGGGCCGGGGGGGGAGGACAATAGGTCCCCCTCCTTATTATCATTATGGCCCCCACCCGCGGCCCAGGGGTGGGGGCCGGGGGGGGCAGTAAGTCCCCCCCCATTATCATTATGACCCCCACCCACCGCGCAGGGGTGGGGGCCGGGGGACACACATTAGGTCTCCCCCCTATTTTACTTTAGGGCCCCCACCCATCGTTTAGGGGTGGGGGCCAATAGTTTTTTTGAGGCTGCTCACTGTTTAATAGACATGCCCCTACTCGCGGTATAGCGAGTAGGGGCATATTATTTACTAATACTAAGTAATTTTTACTTAGTATTAGTAAAGTTGGCTGAAAGACCAATTTAGGTCGTTCAGCCTTTTAGTAGATAACTCCTTAATACCGTGGGAATTAGGGAGTTATCTACTAAGCGGCTGCAAGATGCAGATGCGGCAATGAATAGGATCAGAGTTTCATTCATTCTAATGAAATTGCGATCCGAACAAAATGCCGAATTGAGTTCTAAAAGAAACGAACATACTGTTCTCATTCAGTTAGAACGCAATTCGTCAGTTTCGTCTAAAATGACAGGAAGCATCATGGGAACACAGAGGAAAGGTAAGGATCATGGAAAATTGCTCTGACCAGCGGAAATTAAGCACACTTTACTCCTCCGCTGGTCAGAGCTGGTCAAGCGGAGGAATCCTCCATAAGGCAAAGAGTCCCTACTTTGTCTTATGATTTTAAAGAAAACTAAAGAAGACAGGAAGAAAATAAGAACAGATCCCGAGAGAGAGGGAGAAGAGGAAGAGATTGGGGAAAGGTAAGTTCGGCACGACAGTGCCGCTTTAATCCTACAATGTAAAACATTGCAGTTTCGGAGAAACTGCAATGCTTACATTGCAGGGTTAAGTGCACCTCTAGTGTCTGTCTTCCAGTTGGCCACTAGAAGTGCTTCCTGTTGCCTAACAGAGTCTAACTCCATGAAATCATTTTGTTCATGCTCATACTTTGCATAAGGATTTAATGCTTTCCTATAGGCATGCTTTTATGTATATTAGGTTCAACCGTCATTGAGACATTGCAGGAGGAAGACATCTATCCAGAGCCAAGGGAGTGTGGGAGCTGAAATTAAGGTAAGCTGAAAAAGGGGTTTTAACCCTTTATTTACCGAGAAGAGAGGGGGACCTACATAACTAAGAAGAGAGGCGCTATAGCTATTCCTAAAGCTATAATGTTCCTTTAAGTGACCAGTGAAACTATTCTTTGGGAAAAGACAACTCGTCCCATACAGTCAAATATTCATTCTGGAGTAGATAACCAATCAGTTTAGAAGTAATCACCAATTAAATGCACCAGCTTTTTGCAATGAGAACATTTACATATTTTCATTTTACCTCTGCAGTTTCCAATCCAATTTGCTCAGATTCATGGAGGAGGGACACCGATCTATTACTACTATCTACGGTAGCCTGTGTTCTTCTCATCACTTCTTGTTGTAAAGCTCTTTGTTTGTCATACACACCATCTGTTTCACTTTCTTCTGTGTCCACTGCATTGTTCCACTTCACTGGCTTGAAGTCAGTATCCTCATCTTCATCAAAGGGATTGAAGCTTCTTGACATGATGAAAGCTATGTCCTACCCTACTGTTCTAAGCTGTAACACAATACAAATATTTGTACATTGTAACAAGTGTTGTCATTGCCAGTATGCCACTAAATTTATTGGCAAAGTGAAATAAACGTAATTGAAAAAATGAAATAGCACATCAATTTGTGCTCATTACGGACATACTGGAAAGGTAATTCAGAGTACATGTAAACCGAATTTCATATTTTGGGACAAAACAGCGAAAGTGGAAAGAATTTGCAGGCCATAGCATAGCTGACTTAGAGAATGTTTACAATCCCTTTATTTTGACCTTAAATTTGAAATTCACATTTAATTCTCACTTTAGTGACTAAACCTGTATATATACATATTTCACATAACAAAAAAAAAATCCCAAAATGTTACGTTACCCACACAAATAAGAGGAACACAGCAAATATGAAGCAGATCAAAGTACACAGGGAAAACACACTTTGCCAACGTTTCGGTTCTACAGTGTTCATATCACAATAACAATAAGACTAAACACATATTTAAATCACAAACCAACCTGAACGGACATACATACCGAACGACAAATCTAATAAGAACAGCACGTCGTTCTCTATTCTCCACAACCGCTTTCACTACTCATCTGACTCGGTGACTGTCACTTCCGCCCTCACTCTGACGTCATCAACCCAATCACGCCCCTTCTTCCGCCCGACTCACGTTGGAATGGATCGTATAAAAACCCAAGAAGAAAAGTATCACGTCATGTAATATCTCGCTAACCGCTTCCCACTCTCATTTGTAGTTAAATGTTTGGAATCCTGAAAATTAATTTTGACGAATTTCCGGTTTCCAAGGCAACAGTGCGAGCCGCCATGTTGTGTCTACGTCACTTCTGGGGGGGCGGTCATGTGACAGGGTGCGATGATCGGGTTTGGTGACGTCATTTGACGGCTCCACCGGGTGAAACATGGCGGCCAAAGGGGGCGGCTGCGGCTCCCGGGGGTTTTATTTTAACACCGTGCTGTCCCTGGCCCGCTCGTTGTCCGTGCAGAGACCGGCGGCCCTGGAGAAGGTGAGCCTGCAGGCCCGGGGGCGCAGTGTGCGGGGACTGCCACCATACTGTCACTGGGGGGCTGTGTTTACCTGTCACTGGGGGGTGGCTGCCTCCCTGCCTGCCTGGCTGGCTGGTTACTATGAGTTACTTACAGGGACCAGTCATTGCTGTGTGCAGAAAGAGTTCATGTTTGACATCATTTGTTTTTAGGGTTACCAGAATCCCCATTGTTTACTGTATGTCCCTCCTGCATGGTTACAGGCTGTACATGGTGATGGGGTGCAGTGCCATGCAGTCAGTGAGGTTCTTCTGCTGCTGTTTGTTTTTTTTGTTTTTTTTCACTGATTAATGCTTTATTTCCCTCTTGTAGCTTTGGAATTCTACACAGTAAAGGGCAGCACTTTTCTTGCGCAGCCCATCAATTTGCACAAGTGATTTGTGTCCAGGTAAACATGGTGGAACTATATGATTATGTTCAACAAGATGAGTGGCTGGAAGAGCATCATGAGAATGTTATCCAGGACACCCTGATTGTCAAAATGTTAACTATTACTACCCTTTAATAAGTTGTGAATTCAACAAGGAATAGCACATTTTAGGTAAAAATCAGATATATTTGCAGGTCAGCTGTTTTAGCCCTTTAATGTAACAATCTCCTGGTAAATTAGTGACAATTCATGGTTTAGAGAAGAACCCTAAGAATGTCCACCTAGAGAACAAGAATACCTAGACTCTGCACAATTCTCTACTAGCCTTTGCATCGCAGAGAATTGTTTTAATGTACAATGTTTGGAGGACGTTCAGTTGCTTATTTAGAAGTGACCTGATTGGCTTCTTTTGGAAGACAGTCCATGTCTATTAATTTTTACAACTTTGTTGGAAAGTGGGCCAACTTGCACTAAGTGGGAATTCTAACTGACTTTAAAATCTAAAGAAACACTGCAAACAACTCATCCATTACAGCCCAATGGTGTCCGTTTAAAACTGGTTTGACCACATACCTGGGGTCCGCGGGTCCGTCAGCTCTTTTATGAAAAATTAAAACTAATTGACTTGCCTGATAATCCTAAGAATGCCTATTTAGATGAACAGCAAACAGGCATTTAGAGAAAAAGCAGGCAGGAATAGTGGTCAGAAGGTGGTGCCAGTCCACCTAAGGGCCTGTACCCGAATAAATACAAAATTGAAAATGTTGTAAATACTGGCAAAGGAATGTGTTTAACAGCTTGAAGGTCTGTGCCTATTAGCCCTTTACAGTAATTAAATGTGTGTATGTATAAATGGGAAGAGAGAGAAGGGTGGGAGATAAGAAAACTCCCTAATGACTAAGGTACTAGTACTAATACAGAGTAATAGCTAATTGCTGTCTTTATTGAGTTCTGACTAGTAACATAGTTATCCATAAAAAGTCTCCCTTTAAAAATGGCAGATGACCTTACTAGTATTGACTAGTATATATTACTGTGGTCAATATACCAATAACAGAATCCCATAAATCCACATTGGCAGCAAAAGAAAAAGTAAAAGGAAAAAAAGCCAAAGTATAGCTAGATACAATGTTGCATTAGTTAGTGAAAATACAAATGCAGTAACTGCTTCTTATGAGTCATCTCCAGAGGGAGTGAGTTAGGGACCTGAAAACAATAAGCACGAATTGTATCCATATAGAGGAAAAGGTTATTCTTGTATCCCTATGAGGGAAAGGCTATGCACTAGTCCCTGATATCCTCCCAACACCTTCAAGGGTGTTCTAATCTGCGGCTCGATCTAAGAGAAGCAAAAGAAAAAAGCTGCCTAATGTGCCATCACACCGGCTGTATGAGCGGCACTGTGTAGAATGAAAAATAAAGAAAAGAATTAATTTAACCTATAAGGGTCTAAATACCCATAGTGATAAAGTGTCCCTAAAAAGTGAACAAAGTGAGTGATGATTGCGCCCGACGCGCGTTTCGGTGTGTTAGAACACCTTCGTCAGGGGACGAAGGTGTTCTAACACACCGAAACGCGCGTCGGGCGCAATCATCACTCACTTTGTTCACTTTTTAGGGACACTTTATCACTATGGGTATTTAGACCCTTATAGGTTAAATTAATTCTTTTCTTTATTTTTCATTCTACACAGTGCCGCTCATACAGCCGGTGTGATGGCACATTAGGCAGCTTTTTTCTTTTGCTTCTCTTAGATCGAGCCGCAGATTAGAACACCCTTGAAGGTGTTGGGAGGATATCAGGGACTAGTGCATAGCCTTTCCCTCATAGGGATACAAGAATAACCTTTTCCTCTATATGGATACAATTCGTGCTTATTGTTTTCAGGTCCCTAACTCACTCCCTCTGGAGATGACTCATAAGAAGCAGTTACTGCATTTGTATTTTCACTAACTAATGCAACATTGTATCTAGCTATACTTTGGCTTTTTTTCCTTTTACTTTTTCTTTTGCTGCCAATGTGGATTTATGGGATTCTGTTATTGGTATATTGACCACAGTAATATATACTAGTCAATACTAGTAAGGTCATCTGCCATTTTTAAAGGGAGACTTTTTATGGATAACTATGTTACTAGTCAGAACTCAATAAAGACAGCAATTAGCTATTACTCTGTATTAGTACTAGTACCTTAGTCATTAGGGAGTTTTCTTATCTCCCACCCTTCTCTCTCTTCCCATTTATACATACACACATTCAATTACTGTAAAGGGCTAATAGGCACAGACCTTCAAGCTGTTAAACACATTCCTTTGCCAGCATTTACATTTTCAATTTTTTTCTTTTATGAAAAACCCTGACAATTTTTTGTTTGTGACTGTGTGAGGGATATTAACTAAAGTATATTTGTGGAGAATACAATGCAAATGCAAACATTTAAGAAAAAAAAAAAATAGCTGATTTAGCAAATTTCTTTCATAATCATAGTATGACTCTTTTGTTGTCTAAACTTTGCAATTCATTGTTTCATAAATAAACCATTAAATGTTTATTCACTAAATAAGGTGTTCTTTATGCTCGTTTTCCACTGAGCGGTATGGTTCAGGTTGGTACAGGCTGGTATGTTATTTTAAGTGTTTCCATTATGAAAGTGGCCCATACAACCGAAACAAACCGCATAATTTCTGGGCCCCCTTCAGATGTGGGTCTATAGGAAATGGTACGGTTAGGCCGGAGCTACTGGAGTCACACTATACAATCCATTGATTGGCAGACAGGAAAACGTCAATGCTCACGACAAATGACACGCTAGGCATTTGGTCTAAACACTGCATGCCCCCTGGCGGTCCGACTCTCAGTGGAAATGCTCACATGAATAGGCTGGATCATTCTCACCCTTCCAAACCGCACTGACTAGGGATCGACCGATTATCGGTCTGGCCGATTATTATCGGACGATATTCGGGTTTTTCGGCAATATCGATATCTGCCTATAGAGATATTGCAGACCAGGACCGCCGGGCCCATGACAAGCACGGTGGTCCTGGGGGGCCCGCAGCAAGCTCTTACCTTCTCAGAAGCTCCCTTCAGCACCCTGTCTAAATCTCGCGAGTCCTGCGGCCGTCATAGCGTTGCCCCTGGTTACCATGGCAACGCTCCACACGGCACGCAGGCCGTGAGATTTAGACAGGGGAGCTGAAGGGAGCTTTTGGGAAGGTAAGTAAGAGCTTGCTGTGGGCCCCCACTGCACAGTCCATGCCACGGGACCACCAGGGAATGCCATATCCCCCCCTCCCTGGCCAAGTAAGAAGCAGGGATGGGGGACTAAAAAAACAAACAAAAATGTAAATATTTAAATTAAAATAGCCCCCCCCCTTTTACACACATTACATACCTAAACAAATACACACACACACACACACACACACTCCCTCTGCATTATATAAACATACGACACAAACACACTGCATTCACTTTACGCACTACACACACTGCATTCACTAAAGGCACTACACAAACACATAAACTCTGCATTCATTATATACGCACTACGGAAACACACACTGCATCCACTAATCAAATACTCTCACTGCATCCACTACACACACATATATTCTTGAAAACATAAAAAAATCTGACTGGCATGTATATTTTGTGCATTTAGCTTAATAGAAAAAAGATTTGCAAATAAAATATGTTTTAAAATAATAAACATGTTCAGTTAACAGTAGATTTGTGTAGAAATAGTTTATTTTTTTCAAAATGGTAAATGTACAGAATATCGGTAAGTTATCGGCTATCAGCCTGAAAGTTCACAGATTATCGGTATCTGCTCTAAAAAATCAATATTGGTTGATCCCTAGCACCGACCTGAACCATACCG